TTTTTATATCGTATCATTTCTAACGCTCTACCAGTTAATCTGGTGGTAATATATTTTACTAACGTTGGTGCATATTTTTCTTCGACTAGACTCACTGCCATGTCACATGCATTCATAAATGGATATATATGTCATCCTCGCATATGCATAAAGGTATTAATTTAAACGCGTCCTCTAGTTTTATGGTAACCATTTTTTTATTTCGTACTTTTTTATCGAACAATAACTCCGTGTGTTCAAAACTATCAGTGACCTTACTACGTGTAGTTCTACCTGACTTATTATTTAAGCTACTACTTCTCGTTAGAATAGGTTTCTCTTTTTTAGTTTTTACTTTAGTTTTATCTTGACTGTCGAAATTTATTAATCTATGTGTAACGTTTAATATTTCCTTTTCAAGATTAGATGTATCTTTTTCTGTACTGTCCATAAAATGCCTTTAATATTCATTCAATACACCCTTCATTACTTCAATTAATAATTCTCAATAATAAACCTCATAATAATAATCTCATAATAACAATAACTCTCAATAGTTAAATCTCAATAATAATCAAAATATTATTCTTCAACATTAATAACCTCAATAGGCTTCAATAATAATCTCAATAGTTTCAATAATAATCTCAATGACTTCAATAATAATCTTCAATAACTTCAATAATAATAATCTCAATAACTTCAATAATAATCTTAAATAACTTCAATAATAATCTCAATAACTTCAATAACGACAATAATAATCTTCAATATAATAATCTCAATAATTTCAATAACTTCAATAATAATAATCTCAATAATAATCTCAATAACTTCAATGGGTTTGAATAATTGACTGAATGGGCTTTTATATAGGTTCTACTCTAACACCTACACTACTATTTATACTTGATTACCTTAAATAAATTCCATACGCCTCTATTGTACATACGTCTATGTAACAATATTTAATAAATTATTCACTTACAATAGAGTGGTATTTGCTGATGATGCCATGTTCCTTTTGAAATTACTGCACTTGTTTTGCTTGGAACCTTCCTTCGGAGTTGCTGATGAAGAAGAGTGATCAATTCCTCTTGTCAACGATGGACCTTTGATGGTTTTGCCTCCTCGAAATATCCTACCGACTGCGCCAGAAATGTTGTGTGCGTAATCTCAAAGGCTCCAAAAGCCGTAAGCTTTAGAGGCAAATCAAACAAGTACCAAATTGAACTGTAGAATAACGTTTATTTAGCAGAAAATATAGTAAGTGTATAATAGCGTGTGCGCGTGTGACGAGAAGTTTCTCTGGTCTCCGTGGCTATGATACATTGTAATGAAACGCAATCGGTTGTTGTAAATTGTTTTATTGATACATTATATGCAGAACCAATTGTCTCATTATCTAAGTTTGTTACAATAAGTATATGGTTTTCATATGACAATATTTTCCTTTTTGAGGGATTACCTCCGTTATACTCGCTAGGACGAGTGTACAATTAAAATAGTTTATTGGGGTTTTACAAACAGGGGTGGGTGTCTGAACATGGAACTCACAGTTTACTCGACTCGGACGGCGGCGTGCTGTGGTCAACAGAGTCTCTGACAGACAATAATCTGCTCTGCTCGTACGGCGGCGTGCTGTGGACAGTAATCTGCTCTGCTCGTATGGCGGCGTGCTGTGGACAGTAATCTGCTCTGCTCGTATGGCGGCGTGCTGTGGACAGTATTGGTATGGCGTTGGCTGGTTGGTGAACTTCTGTGGCGCCTGTTGATGGTCGTCTCACCGAAACACTTGTGTTTTGCAATGGTAGAGGGATACCGGGACAGGCTGTAGAGTATCCGTGTATAACGGTTTTTGACGACCGTCCGGCTTACTCAGCCTGAGGGGTAATGCTGTGGATGCTTGTATATTAGTGTCCGTGTATAACGGTATTTAGACCGTCCGGCTCACTAATAACTGCACTTAGCGGGGAGATTGTCTGTCTGGGTAGTGTTTCCAGCCTATACTTATAATAAGTCTAACCCTCAGGTGATAGGCTAAGTCGGAAACCGGTTCTGGGGTTGTACGGTGATTTCTATTCGACTTAAAACACATTAAAACTCCTTTTCACATAGTCCGTACTGTATTGAAGATACTGACACTTTGCAAAGGGTTTTAAGTTGAGAAGTTCTTTCCCAAATGAATTTACTTGTTTGGGCGGCGCGTCGGCGTAAAGAGATTCTCTTTATTAGAGCTCCCTGTGAATCGAGGTGTCGATGTTCCGCGGTATAGTTGTTGATTGCTACTCAAGATCGCGTGGCGGTGCGAGCGGTTCGAGGACAGGTGGCTTAGTTGGGGAACGGGCAACGAGAGTGCGCCACTTTCATGGACACTCCGTTTTGTCCCGTTACAACATCTGCTCAGGCTGTCCCATGGGCTCCCTTATAAGTGATGGCGGTTCTTTTGATGTAGCGGCACGTGCAACTTGTATGGGTGTGTGTTTTCGGTATCTTTAACAGATCGCCACGGGAGGTTAAGTAGAACGAGTTGTATGGACTTAATCAAATTACTGGAATATGTGCCCGAAGCTGGAATGTTATTAAATTTTACGGATGAAGAATAAATTTAAAAAAAAAATAAAAAATAGTAGTAGAAAAAAAAATGTGATATGCATATATATAATTAAATAAACTTAATCATTTAAGCAGATAGAAAAATAAGTAATAACTAAGAAATGTAAATATTATAGATTACTGATGATACAGACCGTCAAAGGGCAAGGAGTAACGAACGACAGAATGTTGGGAACCACAATCTTTTATAAAAACGATGAAAAATTTACGATTATAAACGTATCGGGCGAAACCGATGATGAGTATAGTTTTACGGACGAAACAGATAGCAAAATAGAATCACTACGAATAAAATGTAATTTAGTAAGGGACCCACCATTATTCGAAGCGAATTTATCGGAAAAACCACTTACCTGTTATTTACAAAAATCATGCGTACTGTATGTAAGAAATTTCCATGGTACCAAGCATAGGTTAAAACAAATTCCGGTAACATACAATTATCTAAAATTTAAGCCAAAACACGAATCAGCACAAGTGATAGTCGAGTCAACTAGAATTGAACCAAATAACGAAAACATTAGTACTGAGAGCCAGATTTGTAGACCAAAATAACGATAAAACTACTAAAATAAATAGCAAAAAGCTAAAATTCGAAAAAAATATAACAACCGAAAAGGTAGTAACAATATCGGAAAAGGGGGAAACGATCTACTCATCGAATTATATTATAAGAGTCCAACGAGAACAACAGAATCACCAGTGGTTAATGACAGTGATAGGTTTCGCGAGGGAACCGAGGAGTTAAATTTAAATAGTACAGAGAACCCAGTAAGCATATTCGACAACAAACAGAAAATAAGGGATAAAAAGGGAGATGAACATTAAGTTAACGAAAACAGTAATACAATTGGCTATTTAATGTTTGTTATTATGGGATTAATAATAATGACGTCTGTTATAATAATAATTAGTTTAAATCGTATTATAAACGTATCCATAGAAGTAGGTATAGGTACATGATATACGCATTAAACGAACATCACCAAATGATGGAAACGGAATGCTAAAAAAAGGAGATATAAATAATAATAATGACGACATGCCAGAGCGTTAGTGGGCGTAGCCACTATTATATTTTTTTATTTTTTTTTTATTTTAAAAGCCACTAGTATAAACTATGATAGCTTGACAATTACATAATATGAATAAAACAATATAAAATTAGGATTAAGAGGACGCTATACATGTATGAATTCGTGCGTAAAAACCGTTTCACGCGGGATAGAACCACTCAGACTGTAGTGATAGTTAAAGGTGCGTTTACATTAGGCCGCGAACGCGAACGAACGCTTGCGAATGCTACCGAACGAATGCGAACGCATATTCGCTAGACATTCGGTCGTGACCGTTTACATTGTTCGCTCGTTCGTGTTCAACTGTCTTCGCTTCTATAAAAATCTTCGCTCCTAAATACACATTTAGTATCGACAAAGCTGCTGTGAAGTAAAGACTTTGTTGATTTTTTTAAAAATTTTAAGTGAAAGTTAAAACCTGGGCAAAGATCATTTGTATTTAATTTGAATATTTGTAATTTTTATACTTAAAATGTCATCAAGTGAAGAAGATGATTTGTTAGTAGCTGCTTCAAGTTTTGTACTCATGAAAGCATTAATAAAAAAAACATCAAAGACAAAAAGAAAACGACGCTGGTGGATGACTACATTGTATAGAAATAGAGGATTGTATAGTGGAACTATGTTGCTAAACGACCTACAAAAAGAAGATGGTGATCACTTTAAAACATGTTGTAGAATGTCATGCGAAACATTTAACCAATTACTTACCTTAGTTGAGCCTAAAATTCGAAAAGAAGATACTAAGTTTCGAAAAGCTATACCCTCTAAGGAACGGTTGGCATTAACATTAAGATACTTGGCGTCAGGTGATTCATTTGCAAGTTTATCATTGGTTTTTAAAATTTCAAAGTCATCAATATCCCATATTATACCAGAAGTCTGTACAGCTATAATTGAGGTTCTACAAGACTACATACAAGTAATTATGTTTAATATATTATTATAATTATAAAATCAAAATAAATATATTCTTTTTAAAAAACAATATATACTTAATAATAACAAAACATAGTAACGAAATTGAAATTATAAGCAATAGAACAATATTATTAAAAAATAAAAAATAAAAATATCCTTTTTAAAAAACAATATATACTTAATAATAACAAAAAAAAGTTATAAAATTGAAATCATAAGCAATAGAACAATAGGTACTATTAAAAATAAAAAAAAAGTATATCCTTTTTAAATAAAAATATAAACTTACTAGTTACTAATAATACTCGTAAATAATAATGAAACATTTTAATGAACTCGAAAGTAATAGAACTTCATATTTGTAATTAAAAAAAATATAAAAAATTTAAATTGTCAGTCCACATTGTATTATATATTTGACGAAGTATTTAGGTCATCAGTTAGGATAGTTTCTGACGTATTGACATAAGCTGATGTACCGTTGATATCAGGTGTTTGCTGATACTGCAGATAGTCGTGTATACTCGAGAAGTTCGACATATCTTGATGATGAGGCTGCTGCACTGCAGAAAGGTAATTTGGTGACTGTGGTTGAATTGAAGGTATTGAATGAAGAGATGATGAACTTGGTGATGACAGTGGAGATGAAAATAACATTGTATTAGCTGAAGGCTGATTATTAATATTGAGTTGAAGAGCTTGATTGCCAGTTTTGTTATGATTATGAATATAGTTGATTTCAGCGGAACAAATCAGACTACTTATTTGATGTTGAAGTATTGTCTTTGTGTGTTGATCAAATAATTCCAGTTTACTAGCAACATACTCCCCGAAAACAGTATTGTCGCTCTTCACTTTTGGTGTTTGCCTTTTATTGGAAATTTCTTTTATTATTTGATACGTTTCTGCTATTCTAGGGTCTTCTTGAACTTTTTTTCTTTTTAATCCTGTGGGTTTTTGGGGTGAAACAAAAACTTTTTCTTTTTGAGGTTGTTCTTCATTTGTGTCACGTTCTCTATCATCTTCAGTTAGATCTTCGACGATTTCAATAGCTTCACGTGGTTCATCATGT